TTCAATGTAAGGAACTAACCGTAACACCTTTCACCTTATCTGGATTTCTGATCCCACCCTCTATCTGCAACACCACTGGAAGAAAATGAACTGATCACAAAAGCTGGCATTAGCTGGACGTGCCATATGGCGAGAACTACAGGAAAAAATACACAAAATACCACTGAACTTTAGACGTTGGCCTTTCTTCGAAATCGAATACAATATTTAAGGTGAAGTTACACCGTACTTTAAAAAACATTTTTACATCTTCAATTGCAGCAGACAAATGATAGTTCCAGAACCACGTGTCATGCGCACGAGATCGAAATATAGGACCATTTCGCTTCGCGAAGAACGCACGAAGATACAAGGGTTTGTGTTGTTTAGACTTACAACTAACGATTACAGACGTTTTTTTATATATCATGTATATTAACCTGTGACGTAAAAACGGCAAAGTCTACATAAATAATTTTATTTATAGAGAGAGAGAGACAGAAAATGAGAAATTCATACAATATTTGGCAGACTAAAAAAGCGAAATTTGAGCAAATAAGCAACGAAACATACATATTTATATGTACTGTTCTCAAAATACAATACACATTATGTGTGAACAAAAGTATAAGGTTAAAACGTGTTGGCGAGACTAGCTTACGGTCTTTTTTCATATATTTTTAATCTATTCTAATCTAAATTTACTAAATTAATTCGTTCTCGCACTGTTCCGTCTTATCCTTTAGTCAAGTAACACGTTCTCGAGCCACGTGTTGTTGTTTTTTTTTACATTCGTCATTTCAATGGTTTTATACTCTATATATTTATAAAAGTCTTTGGTTCTCTATAACCTCAACGGAGGACCGAAACGTTTTCAAATTCATCAAGAAATTCCATTCAATTTCCCAAGTGTTTCAACTTATTTTCTTTTGTGTACTTTGAAATACAGTCGGTTTGTTTTCTTCTTGAACACGTCTCTTATTAAAGCGTAAAAACAAAAACACAATTCCATCTACACTATTTAATCAAGAGAAAGTGACAGCTGTCATTCAAAGTGACAGGAAAGGTTATTAGTCATTTCTCACAATAGATGCCCGTATGTTCAGGTTTTCTTACTTGTAGTATAACTACACGATCTCAGGGCGACGAAATAAAACCGTTAACAAGCAGTCAACAATGGTTCCATCCATTCAACAATGAAATGTACGCCTATGTAGGACGTTTGTGTATAATACGGTCTCGAATAACGACAGTGTATCGTTCCGCTTAACTCACGTGGAACTCCTTTAATCTAAATGTGGCTGTAAATCATCACTTCTGTCAGAATACACGAGGAATTTCGCTGTAGATATAGTACGAAAGAAAACATAATCCGCACGTGTAACTTAAAACTGAAATTAAGCCGACAACAAAAATAAAAAAACCCTAAAGGTTCGAAAATAGCTTAAATTAAAAACAGATAAGAAATAAGCAACAATCTCGAGTGTCTGGGGCTTTTGCCTCTGGTCTGCTATTATTATTATTATTATTATTTTATAGGGGTTCAGTCCCAAAATCCCCGCCAAAGAGTTAAAACTCTGTCCATAGAGTTACTAATTTTCTGTTAGTGCCACTGAAGTGTAATATGCGCCACAAATTTGACACTTTTCTTTAATTCCTGTATATTTACACAACCAACGTTTTGCATCAATAAAGTGACGTCACGAGTAAAAAAAAACACAAACAATAAATGATGTTCATATCACGCAGACAGAGATTTAACGCTTATATCTAGTTAACAAGACAGAGATTGATAAACATGTCGATTAACTGATCGATAACTTGAAGAAAATTCTTGAGCTAATTGCTTACCATGGTGAGTCGTTGTATCCAGCTTCGGAATCATCCCCAGGGCTGGTGACAGTGGGATCCACGCCCACAGCAACACATTCAGAGTTGTTAGGGCGCAAGACATGTAGATATTCGGGAGTAGTTCTCTCTTGTTTCTGAAGACCATTCTCCGAGAATAAGAACCCCTGAGGTCCAGTTTTTTTAATCTTCCTTATAACTCGCGATAGACTAGCTGCATGTGTTTACTACATGCGAGCAGGCCAGACAACGAAACGCTTCTGCCAGTCACCCGATGCTCGCGCGAGAGTTTCGAGGAATCCCTTTGCGTGTAGTTTCGAGAATATTTCTAAGCTGGAGAACGCTCAGCCGCAGACCCCGTGTATCACGTTTTCCACTCCTCTTAGTCGACAGGTAACAAGGCTCCCCGACGAATGTAAGGCTCTGACCTGATGTCACCTAAAAATAAAGAAGTCTTTTTTCAATGAATACTGCTAAACAAACCGCCATCAATAAACGCTCCTCCCAATGAATTCTGCTGTTAACCAATCACGCAATATATAAATAGACGACCCCTGATCCAGGGTCTCCAATCATCGACATATTGTTGTAATAAGTACTTTTTTATGGTTATGTTCATCCCCGCCCGTTCTCTCGTGCTTTTCTCCGTTAAAACTGTCCTAACCACATAACTTCTCTTCAAACAAAGCCTGACAGGATAATTTACTAACTTTAACAAAACCCAGCCCTAGAAGTTATTCCTAATAACACCACGAGATGGCGAGTCACCTTATCGCCACGAGATACGTCGTTATTCATGTAAATTCAGCTGCGGGCTCATACTACGTGAGCTGTATGCTCATTATTATTATTTTTTTTTTAACAACTCGCAAGTAAAGTTAAACATTACCTTACACCACTACATAGGACCGACCCCGCGTGAGAGTTCGTCAGACTCATCACTGCATTTTGTGGTTTGATCGATTCGAAAAATGTCTTTTTTTCTTCCTTTCTCTGTTCGTGTAAGGTATAATTCAGGTTGAAAATGCCAATTTGTTTTATTTCTTCTGTGAAGTTAGATTATAATTAAACAACAAACGTTTCTATAGAACATCATCAAAAAATAGGTTTAGGTTTCTCTCAAATTAGTTATAACTAAAATGTTTTCAAACACTTAAGCGATAAAGTTCTAAAAGACGAAAATTCACAACAAACAAGACAAATAAAAAATTGGGAATTTCAAAACCCGTAAATATAGGATCGTAAAAAAACAAAAGTTGGAAACAAGGCTGGAAATACTGTAGACATTATTTATTCAAACTACAAACCCCTATTTTGACTCCATGTTGTTATCTAGAATTACATTTGGTGGAGTCAAAGTAGGAATTTGTAGTTTGAGTAAATAATGTCTACAGTATCTCCAACTTTGTTTCCTTACTTCTTTTACGATTGTAGATTTTTTTAAGTTCCTAATTTTTTATTGATCTTGTTTGCTGTTTTTTTTATGCTCAACTATGGGCAAAGGATTACTTACTATGGAAGCTAACTTTATACGTTGTATTGATAATAAACATAGCTAGTAGCTAGCTGATACTGTTCATGATGATTTACTGTAGTTATTGACTAGTTGATCGCATGATTCGAGATGTAAAATGTTAAGCTGCAGCTAGATATTGTTATGGAGATTTGTTTGAGAATACAGTTAGCATTTATAGTTTCTGTATAACTAAATTCTCTATATATAATGCATAGCAATGGGCAAATATATGCCTAGATTAAGACACAACCCTCACTAAGGGCATATAGAATTTTACCAATAGAAAAGCAGCCTTTTCAAATAAAAAATATACATCTACAACTTCGCTTTAAATAAACCTTTGTGTATTTCAAAGTACTCAACTCACTTCATACATGATATAGGGGTTTGTTTTTGTTTGTTTTGAATTTCGCGCAAAGCTACACGACGGCTATCTGCGCTATCCGTCCCTAATTTAGCAGTGTAAGACTAGAAGGAAGGCAGCTAGTCATCACCACCCACCGCCAACTCTTGGGCTACTATTTTACCAACGAATAGTGGGATTGACCGTCACATTATAACGCCCCCACGGCTGAAAGGGCGAGCATGATTGGTGGGACGGGGATTCGAACCCGCGACCCTCAGATTGCAAGTCGAGTGCCTTAACCACCTGGCAATGGTTAGAGAGTTCTTCATAATATACGAGTCAAACAACAAAATATATATTTTAAAATACCATTAATATTAAATTAATTACTGCACTGGTGGAGTTCCCTATTTATTTTACATACGGAAAAAAACTAATTTAAGCAGTGTTTTTTGAATGTGGTATGTTTTAATTCCTGCCGTATCTGTCACCAATATTTATAAATACTGTTGTTTACCATCATGTTGTGTTATAGGAGTCGTGTGTTGGGGGAGGGGTAGTTATAACCAGGGGTCGCACGCACTCTGGAATTCCTGGAAAATCCTGAACAAAATTGTGATCCATGGAAAATGCTGAAACTTCTGGAAATTACATTATGTCCCCCGGAAAAGTGCTGAAACTCCTGGAAATTACATTATGTCCCCCGGAAAAGTGCTGAAAACTCATGGAAATTATCTTGTATCCCCCGGCAAAGTGCTGAAAACTCTGAGAATGATTTTATATCCACTGGAAAAGTGCTGGTATTTGTATAGATGTGGTTTTTCTTCACAGCTACAAAATAAAAACGGTAACCTAGTTACAGTGACGTCACATCTCATTGCTAGCCATGCTTTCAAGAACACATTATTACATGTTTTTATTTTTAAATATATATTTTTACCACGCGTTTCTTTATAATTTGAGAAAGAAATATGTTTGAGTTGATGTTAATCGACAAATTAAGGAGATCAGTGTTAATTTTTAAAAGTTAGGAATTATTTTATTACGTTAATTAAGTTAGAGCTATAGACACAGCGGATAAATTTTAGTAATGTCCCCATCAGTACTGGGAATCTAACAAAAAGTTTTTGGCAAAGGGGGGCACGAAATATTTACAAGGTTTCTCCCAAAACACTTCTGTCAGTAATAAGAAAGTTCCACGTGCTGTCCACGGTCTCTATTGGGAAAATGAATGATGATTTATTAGTACTGCAGAATGACAGCCATTGAAACACTGTAATATTTTTTTGTCGTGCAACGTAAAGATCTTAGGTCGGTGTAATATTAATCAAAAAGGCATTGGACAGGTGGCTTGGCAGGCTTATCAACTGGAAACGTTCAGTTAGATCAATTTAAAAAGTACTCTTTTATTGTTAAGCGCATAGCTACACAATCTGTGCTCTGCCCACTGCAGGTATGGGAACCCGATTTTTAGAGATATAACCCCTCAGACTTACTGCTGAGCTACGGTTGGACTTAAAAGGACCTGTAATAAATTCGATAAAGTTTTATTTGAACTTTATAATCACGAATCAAACAAGGATGACTTAGTTAATACCGTAGAATAAGTTCGTATGTTTCAGATTTTAAAATAAAAAAAAGGTTTAAATATATACATATATATATATATTTTTAAAGTTTAATGAAACAAAGAGTAAGTGAATTCATTAATGATATGAAGTAAAAAATTGTTATCAGATCAAGCAGTTGAAATCCACGCACAACCAAGTAATTGGTAAAGAAACACCACCTTAGTGGGAACCATGTATTATAAAAGTAACACTATCTTAGTGGGAACCATATGTTATAAAATAAACATTATCATAGTGGGG